AAGAAGGGTCTAGGCCCGAAACGTCAGCCTTCCTGCTCCTCTGATGCTGCTTGGCCTGCTGTGTTCATCCAGCTCTACACCTTGTTATCTCAGATTCTCCAGCATCTGCAGTTCCTACTATCTCCAGAACAGGAAAAATGCTGGATGTTCTCAGCAAGTTAGGTAGTTCTTGTGGAGAAAGAAATATTTTTGATGTTACTTTTCTATGAGCCTCAAACTGAAATAATCAAAAACTCATTTTTAAAAAACTAATACTTAATTTCACAGACCCTGTAAACTTCTCAACCATCCCTTTCTCAGTATAGTGAGACTGATTCTGACTATCCCAGGATGGTTTAGATAATTTGTGCATAGATCAATAACTTTTAGGATACTATTGATATCAAGTAATATTCAAATAAAACAAAGTACCCTGTGTATGCTGGAGATATGAAACAAGCAGAAACTGCTGGCAAAACTCAGCGGGTCTGGTATCTTTGGGTAGAAAGAGTTAATGTTTTGAGTCCAATGACTCTTTTACTCACCACAGATGCTTCCAGACTGCTGAGTTTCACCATTTGTTTCTGTTTTGAGGAATATTGAGTTACTAGGAGAAGATAAAATTGAAATAGAAGATCATATTATCAGGTGGAGCAATCTTTAAAGGCTGAATGGCCTACACCCAATTCTAGTTGTTATTCAGACAGAATGGGACAAATGAATGAAAAGTGTTCTAGGGTAACACAAAGTCAGGTTGTAGGAGGCACTTGTTAAGGGGAAAATACTAACATAGACTATTAGACCAAGGGACCTGTTGCTATGCTCCCAAATTCTATCCATATCTGGTTCCAATATACATGACTTTTGACCACTTTCTCACTATTCCATACTAGCCTTCATCCTATCACAAGGGAAACAATATACTGTTTAAGGCTCCCAATCATGCCCAAAACAAAGGCTATCTATTCTCCTGACTCTTGAATTTCTTGTTTGAACCATTCTATTTATGTTGGCTACTTGCTTTGCTTTCTGAATAATCCCTAATGCCATTAAACCATTATGCTGCTCAGGAGAAAGTCAGAAGTCACACTACACCAGATTATATTCCAACAAGTTCTTTTAAAATCACAAGCTTTCAGAGTGCTACTCCTTTGTCAGGTGATGAAGGTCCAGCACTCTGAAAGCTTGTGATTTCAAATAAACCTGTTGGACTATAATCTGGTGTTTTGTGACTTCTGACTTTATCCACCCCAGTCCAACACCGGCAGCTCCACATAGTTGTTTAGGAGCCTCTTCTTCTCAGTCACTGTTATAGCATGTGCCCCTTACCTCTTACTATGTATCCACTGCTATTTCATTAATATAGATCAACACAGATCTTCAGTCCTACCATTTTCAGCTGCCCCTTACAGTTAATCATCTATTCTACTTTTGTTTCAAATTATTCCTTATGACCTGAACTATTTAGCACTGCCTTTAAGTGAAGAGTCTACAAGACAAATTGCAGAAACTCTTGTCGTCTCTGACATGGAATGTAGACAAACTAATTTTCGAACATTTTTATTATATCAGAGACTTCTTTTCTGATGCATTACAAATTCATGCAAGCCTGTCCACTTCTGATTTTTAATGGAACTGAGTGACCAAGTTGTCTGCAGGAACTGGGTTGGTCATTTCAATATTTATGATTGTGTACTTTCATGTTAACAGTCATTCTCTTTTCAAACCACAGTGTTTGGGTTTCCCAGGCCTTGTGATATATGGTAGCTTTAAAGGACATAAAAATGCTCAAATATGAATTAAGTTCCTTTTACAGCACTCTTTCTGGCCATGAGGTGCGGTAGTGCTTCCTTCCAACCTAAGCTACCAGAAAAACAAACTTCATGATTTGTTTATTTCCCATATATAGGGCCACCACTGGAATGTCCCAAATCGCCATCTGTTCTTTGGAATTGCAATCTGATCTTCTTCCACACCACCTCACCCCAGCAATCTGGAAACCACGCACAATGCCATGCTACCTCTTCCTGCCTCTGTAATCTCTGACCCCCAACATACCTTACCTGCCTAATTCGGCTGTCGTTGGTTGACGAACACTGAAAGTTATCCTGCACATAAATTCTTCAGGATGTTCTGGAAACCCACTTGTTCACAACTGTGCTTCTGTGTGGATCTCCTTCAAGTTAAATCCAGAACTCTATATTGTGAAAGTTTGACAGTCACTTTAGGCTGTATCTCAAGGGGAAGAATGCCTACATAAGATAGGACTTTGTGGAGCTAGACTTGAGAAATGAAGGTTGGCGAACATTTTGTGATAGTCTGGTTAGTCTGATCAAAATCCAAATATTAATTTGTTTCTCCAATTTAAAACTAAAATTATGCAAATTTGCTTATGCTATAACCCATGTTACTGATTGTCTTCACATATCAAGAACTTCAATACAGCCACATTACAGCAGGTGTGCTCCTGCTTCAACAGAAACTCGCTCTTTCAGTTCTCTCAATTTTCAAGCCTCAAAATGGGGTCAGTGGGAAAAAGTTTGGGAAATAGTGCCTTAAGATATGGGGCATCACTGGAAATGTTGTCATTTAGTTCCCATTTCCAGGAACTCCAACAAAGAGATGTGGAGCCTTCCTGCACTGTTGCAGTCCTTCTGATAAAAATATTTCCACAATGGTGTTGGGTAAGGACTTCCAGAATTTTGATGTGATAGCAATGAAAGAATGCTGTGTGATTTGGCAGGTGGCCTTGTAAGAAATGGTGCTGCATTTGCCCTTCTGGTTGATGGCAGACACAGGTTTGGGAGTTGCTGCTGAAAAGCGCTTGGCAAATTGTCAAGGTGCATCCTGTCAGTAGTATACCCTGCAGCATGACATTGGCACAGAGAATGCAGCTGGTCTGCTTTAGTGTCTAGTGTTCGATGGTGAACATCCAGTTTGATGCAATTCTAGACAAAGGCAATTGAAGAGGAGATAGTTCTGCTCTCTTGCTGAAGTATTGTCTGGCAAAAATACTATTTGCCACTCCAGTCTTCATGTTGTCTAGGTCTTGCTTTATGCAAACTCATTGTTTCAAATTATTTGAACAATTGTAATTTGAGTGATCTGATGCAGCTCTGTGGCTTGCTAGGCCATTTTCAGAAAACTGGTTCATGTCAATCACATTGCTGTGGGTCTAGAATCAAATGTGGACCAGACCAGAAAGGGATAGCAATTTTCCTGCCCATTAGTGAACCAGGTTGGTTTTTATAACAACCAACAAGTTTCATTCAACACTAGTGATTTAATTACAGACATCCATACAGTGTGAAGTTAACTCAGATGTTTGACAAAAAGAGGCACTGCAATTTTGAAGTAGTTGCAGATGGAAAATGAAGTGCCTGCAGCAATGAGTTAGTGCTGAACACAAGTGTCTCACTTTATGCCAGGTAAAATTCCAACCACTGAAGAGTTTTCCCCATGATCTCTATTGACATCAGCTTTACTCAACCTTCTGCAGTCCCTCCTCAGTCATTTACCTTTTCAATGTAAGGAATAGTTATTCTCTTCCTTTATCACAGAGTATGCATGTATCATTTCATAATGCCAATCACTCTTATTAACAACCGGGAGGAAAATGATTGGAATAATTTTTTTTACAATATTCATACATGGGATAAGGCTCTTGCTCAGCTAGTATTTAACACCAATCCCCAATTTCCCTGGAGAAAGCGATGGTTGTCTGGCTTTTTGAACCATTGCAATCTGAGCTGTAGGGCAGGGGCCAGGACAAATATGTCCCTGTTCTTGGCTGGGACCCATGGTCCCACATCCTGCCCCTGACCCAGGCCTAGCAGCCCTGCTCCAGGCACAAAGGGCTCCTTGAAGCCTGATCCCAGGTTAGTGGTCCCTGGTATAGG